TTTCAGTACTAGAATGCAGACACCATTCCCATCCTCCTGTGTGCATTACTGTTTCAGTACCACAACCACTCCTCCCTTTGCTTTTGGGAAACAATGATCATTCTTTTTTTTTTAAATAAGGAAATTCCCAACATTTTTTATGCTTATTTTGTTGCTGTTGTGGTTTTTTAATTTGTTTTGTTTTAACATAAGATTACTAAATTAATCTCCACTCACAAAAACAGTTGTGAAGGAACATTACAAAGTTATAAAAATTAGTTTGTCCATAAATATGAATTCTCATTATAGTCACTTTGTAAATTTAGTCATATTAAACTAACTCTGGAATGGAGAGCCTTAGTTCTGTCAATCTCAGTTTAAAAGGGGCACTTTGAGTTAAAAGTCATGTGTTGTGAGAAAACATTTTTTCTTGCCTGTGAATTCAGTCCTACACTCCAGAAAGATGCTCTGCTGTGCACAGGCAATTGTAGGCTCACTGATGGCTTGGATCCCGCAAAAACACATGCTTAGCTACATGCCTCAGTATAGTCAATGGGACTACTCTCAGTGAGTAAAGTAATGCAGAACTGGAGCCTGCATTACTAATAATGACACCTTAGATCCAGGGGGCAGAAGGGGGAAGATGTTTTGTGAGTTGGGAGCCACTGACCCACAGAAAAATCAGTCAGGGGTGCACACCACACAAGTAAGAGGCAAGCCGGGGGCTGCATCCAGCCTCCCATATCCAGCCCCTGGGCCTGAGATTCTCCACCCTTGCCTTTGATTTTTAAATTTGACAAAGAATTTTAAAACCCATTTTATTTTGTACTTATGTTGCTTGCTTTTTAAAATTTTCCTCAATTTGGACAATGAAGTCTGTTTTAGAAACCTTTGTTTCTAATTTGTTTAAGTGCAGGTAAGCAGCACTGCAGTATTTGAGTTGTGATCACTGCAGGAAGATGTTTATTTAAAAAAAAAAACACCCTAATTTTCATTAGACTAAAGCAATATAGCAAAATTTGTACCCAAGGCAGATTTTCCTACTTTGTACAAAAGCTAAAAGTTCAGCCAAACTGATCCCTTCCAAAGGTTTTTTGATAGTATAATTATTCATAGATTCATAGACTTTAAGGTCAGAAGAGACCATTATGATCATCTAGTCTGACCCCCTGCACAGTGCAGGCCACAGAATCTCAACCACCCCTCTTAGAATAATCCTCTCACCTATATCAAAGATATTGAAGCATTCAAATACTTTGAAGGACCCAACATGCAGAGAGTCCTTCAGCTGTGATCTGTGCCCAATGCTACAGAGGAAGGCGAAAAACCTCCAGGGCCTCTGCCAATCTACCCTGGAGGAAAATTCCTTCCCGACCCCAAATATGGCGATCAGCTAAACTCTGAGCATGTGGGCAAGACTCACCAGCCAGACACCCAGAAAGTTCCCTATAGCAACTCCTATCATCCCTCCATTGACCTATTTCCAACTGATAATGAATGGTCAATTAGTTACCAAGATCATGTTATTTCATGCTATTCTATAGCTATTACAGTCTGCTATAGATTACAAATAAATGCCTGCATTTTAAAGCAGCTGCACTATGGGCTGGCGTTAAGGTTATATGTTCAACCTTAACTCTCACAGTTCTGACTCTGGAGTCTTTTAAACAGTCATCCTCTCTCATGGATGGACACCTGAGCGCTGCAATGAGTCACAATCAAGTTTCCTACGCAGGCCCAAGAGCAATGTGTTCCTGCCCAGACCGGATTACAGAAGTTTTCGGTGTAGCTAGAAAACCTGTCTCTTACTAACACAGGTGAGTCTAATAAAGGATTTTTTTTGCATCACCCACCTCTGTCTGGTTGCCAGGGCTGTAACACCGCTTCCAAAGAACAATGTCTCGGGGAAGGGGGGGGGGAGATTACAGTGTTCTCAGGTTACACTCGGCACTTCCCAGACGCGCTCGCAGCTCGTCTAACACGTGGGAGCGCCTGTGTCCACAACACGGATGGCGGCGGCGCTTTCCATGGCAAAGCATTTGACCTCAACAAACATGGCCGCCGCATTGCCTCGTCCCCTTGGGAAGGCTGGGGGAGGGCGTTTCCTGCCCAGCCCTTTCGCCTTCAACAAAGATGGTGCCTCCAGCGCCGAGCCGGGAGCGTGTGTAACCCCCGGCTTTCCGGCTGTGAGTACATTGCAGTGGGCGGGAAAGAGCGCTGGCTCCCCCGTCCCTTGCCCGTGCGCTGGCTGGGAGCCCTCCTGCCGCTGCACTGGCTGGACGCCCCTCCCCTCCTCTCCCCCTGGCCCAGGCGGCGCTGGCTGTGGAGGCTGAAATCCCGGCAGGTCCACGCACACCAGGGCAGCGCAAGCCCTGCCGGCCGGCCCTCCCCCAGCAGCAGCAACTCCCTGCACTGACAGGTCTTACCGGCTCCGCTGACAGCGATAAGGAGGGTTTTGAAGAGACGCACCATGGTGCTGGGGGTTATTTCTAATGCTGCCGAGCCGGGGCTGAAAACAGGGGAGGCTACAACACTCCTGCCTGGCACAGCCCCAGGGGATTCGATCCACTCCCGAGTCGTACCCAGCTACCGTAGCTAAGGGCTTTTTGCCCTGTTTGTGTTACAGACACACGGAGGTGGAAAAAAAAACAAAACAAAAACCAACAGCCAGACCCAAAGTCTGACGTCTAGGAGGTGTAATTTGTTGGTGGATTCCCGTCTTGCTAGTTACATTACCAGCCACTCCAAAACGCGACAATCTCACCACCTACGGGAAAGCAGTTCTCAATGAATTTCAGGCAGCACTCTGGTGATCTGTGTATTTACACAGTGTCCGAGGCAGTAGCAGCATATATCAATGCCATGAAATTACCAATGTCTCCCCTGCAGCTTTGTGACATGATCACATTCTTCAGGAGGAATAATGAGGAGAGAGAGTCTTAAATTTTACCTGCTGGAATATATGAGCAACAGAAACTACTAACCCTGCAGTGCCAGTAAGTATGAATGGCAAGAGCCAAATCAGTTTGTTCTTCATTGTAATGGATGCACCTGTTTTATAAATTCTGTATCTAGCTTATGAAGCACTTTCCAACTGAAAAAGCTGGAGAAAATCATCCAGACCTCACAAGCTGAGAATGAGGCCATGTGGAATTAATGGTTCATATAATTCCTGCCTAACTAGGCACTAACTTCCTTACTGAAATGTGCCAGGAATCAGAGGATCCAATTCAAATTACAACTGATTCACAGAGAAACCGATTAATGCAATAGCTATTACATCTAGGAACAAGCCAGAGTGCTTATTTCAAAGGTTAAATGGGTATTGGGAAGCTATTCAGAGCAAGATTTTGAACTGTCATTTTTGGTGTGCTTTCACATCAATGTATGCATGCAAACATTAATTTCCCTTGGTGTCAATAGCAATACCGATGTGCAAGTTAGGGACTGTGCAAGGACAACTGAGGACAAGTAAAGTATGGTCCTAAGGTTGAAAAATTACAAACCTTTAGAAATATTTGGAAAAACTATAACTTTGGCCTCCTTGCTTGATGGACAGCTTCTTTTCTTTGATAAGGGATGATCTGGTATTTTATCTCTCTCCTTTCCACCACCGTGATCATTATTATTATTTTTTTAAAGCCTCCTTTAGTTTGATACTGGATCCCTTGCAGACAGTGGTTATAGTAGAATGGAACAGGAGGGGGAGCTCTCAGTGCAACAGTCTGGAGGGGGAAACAAAGTGAGAATGGAGTTGGGGGTGAGCTGACTCTTCTGTGCTTTTAACTGTGCTCTGTCTTAAACTTTCCTCCCAGGCTGATCTCACCTCAAGATCCATAGTAAGACTCCAGGTTTGCTTTGTGGTTCCCTCCATTCCCCCAATATCTTCCCAGCCTTAAAGCCATGAAAGACATTTTTTTTAATGATGCTTAAATACCAAAGAGGTTGTTAAGATACTTTGTTAATATCTCGCTTCACACCCCCAGCAGCTTTTAGCAAGGATCATGACTGTCAGCGCAATTTTGGCTCTACTAATCACTTACAGTATGCTAACATCTTTATGGCTGACCTAGAACAACGTTTCCTCAACTCCCGTCCCCTTTCACCGCTAATCACTTACAGTCTTAGTGGCCTTTACTTTCTGGAAGGAAGCCGCATGGGGTGGGGGGAGAATATGTGGAATGCTATATGCTGGGAAGATGGGTATGTGGCAAGAAGAGTTCAACTGAGGTTGAGGAGAGGAAAAGAGAACAGTGCTAGCTATTCCTTCTCTCAAGAAATGGTAGATTCTGTGCAAAAACTGTTGTGTTTTTTATGGAGGAACTACCATAAAAGTAATTTAAATCTTTTACGTTTATGGGGCATCAGGAGGACTGTTTTCAATGGGTAGCTTATATTGTGTGTGTTTCCAAATAATTAAAGACATATTATTATATTGTATTTTTAATACAAGCTGAGCTGTTTCAGAGGCTGAAATGTCTTTCCTTTTAAATCTTTTCACAATGAGTCTGTCCTGCCCTAATTCCCAGTTTTTCACTTCCTGCAAAAATAGTGATTTACTGAGGTTATGTCTAGGCTACGTTGTTCTTTTGGGATACTTCCAGTATCCTGAAATAGCAACGCTGCGTCTTTAAAAGTGTCTGCTATTCTGGCGTCCCTGTAACCCTCATTCCACATAAAGTGTCTGCTATTCTGGTGTCCCTGTAACCCTCATTCCACAAGGGTTAAGGGATTTGTCGGAATAGTACCTTATTTTGAAATTTGGCACTGTGTAGACAGCGCCAAATTTCAAAATAAGCTCTTTCGACTTGCGCTATGCAAATTGCATAGCTTATTCTGACAGAAGGGTGCTGTCTAGACTCACCCTCAGAAACATGCTATTTTAATTTTGCAGGGTTGGGGCCTTAAGGTATTCCAACGGCATCCCTCTGCCAAAGAGCTTATAGGATTGTGGCTTTTATGCTTCAGTTCAGTTCCCATCTAAGTCTATGGCAAAACCACCTTGACTTCAGTGGGAGAAAGATCAGGTCCCAAATTCATGGCCTCAGGTGAGAGACAAGAAATCAAACTGCTAGCTAAGGGGAAACTGAATATAAAATGCTAGCCTGAAGGAAAATGGCTGAGCAGCGATAGATGGTTCCCACTTCAGCTTATCTTGGTGTGGTTCTCTTTTGACACCCTTTTGAACATGAAAATAGCTCTCTTTGATGTTAAAAAGGGAAGCCTTGTAATATCTCATGTGTCCTGCTTCTTTTCTTGCATGCCTCATGACAGGATGGATGCCAGAGACAGGATGGTTCTGCGTTCCCTGCGGCTGGAGCTCTGCTCAGAGGTGCTGGTGGAGGAGCTCATCGTTCATTATCTCTACCAGGAAGGCATTCTAACAGAGAACCACCTTCAAGAAATAAAGTCCCAAGCCACCAGTCACAGAAAAACCATGATGCTTCTCGATATCCTTCCTACCAGAGGCCCCAAGGCCTTTGAGACGTTCTTGGATTCCTTACAGGAGTTTCCATGGGTGAGAGAGAAACTGGAGAGAAAGCGTAAGGAAATGATGGGAGAGGATCCTATAGGTAAGGCCAGAATTATCCCTGTGGTTTTGAAGCTGGTTTTCATATTAGCAGACAAGTAGCTGCACTTTCTTGGTGTTATTGATAGTGCAAATTATCTTTCATAGTGCAGCTACTTGTCTGCTAATTTCTTGGTGTTATTGATAGTGCAAATTATTCCAACATTTTGGAGTGAGAGAGGCTGTGCCAACTAGAGGTGATGCTTAGTGTCCATAGTAGGCCACACACCATAGTTCTTGAGAGCCAGCTGAGTGAGAGAAAGTAATGCAGATTTTTTGAGATGAGCAAAGGTTAGGCTGGGTTCCTATGCGCTGGTAGGTAGCGCAGCAGAGAAGAGAAAGATGGGAACTTGATTCAGAAGGAGCAGAATCTGGAGGGCACAGGCAGGGAAGAATCAATAGGTTAGAAGGGACCACAAGAGTGATCTAGTCTAAGTCCTGCCTGGATGTGAGATTTGTTGCACCTAAACCATCCAAGATAGATGGCTATCCATCTTCCTTTTTGAAACTCTCCAGTGAAAAAGGTTCCACAACTTCCTGAAGGAGATACTAGACCTCCCGGGCACAAAAGGACTGTGATATAAGCTAAGGAATGATGTTAATTGGATGAAGAACAGGTCTAGAAACCACATAATCACCCAAGCATACCAGGGTCTAGTCTTTTAAGTAAAATGTACATGTTAGCTCTATATGTGCTATAGGGCTTTTATTCTGTGTTCTAATTTATGGATATTTGTTAAAAACTTGTCTTGCTTTATGTTTGGTAGACCATGTGTGGCATCACAAATAGATTCCAAAGGCCCCCTGTGAAAGCATAAAAATGTGATAGTGACACAAGAACAGTTAGGAATGAAGCAGATCTCTGAGTGTCCATATATAAATTATTGTATAATTTTAAGTGATGCTTCAAATTTCATTTTGGGTTTGTCATTTACACTAAAGCTTCCTTTCCCTCACCTGTGTAAGGGTTGTGTGTAAATGTAAGTTTATGCCAATTTTAAGTACCCTTTAAACTCCCAGAGTAGTGTAAAGTAGGCATCGGTGTAAGTGGGACTCAGTCCCTCCATCTTAAAAACCCGCCCCTCCTCTCCAACACTTGTCCATTGCTCAATTACAGCAGGAGAAGCTGAGGGATGTTGTTAAATTTGCACAAATTAGAATACAAACCTTGGTGTTCTGACACTTATTTCAAAAACTTTTTTACTTCCAGACTGTAGTTTTCTAGAGTTCAGCTGTGCTTGAGTGATTTTTTTAAAAAGATGTTTATATGAAATGTTTTTTTAAGTACAAGGATAGTGAATAAAATGCACTTTCCTCATCATAAAAAGATTCCGGAAACATTTTTTAACTGCTGTCAAGCCAAAATAGCTGTGGGGCAAAGTTAGCAGGAGGTGGGAGCAAGAGTCAGGGTTGGAGGGTGAGGAGGCAGGGGGAACATCCAATCCAGCATGGACATTTTTTTTTCTGTCCCCTACTCTTTGCATGTCCTTACCTCAGAGCTGTTGAGTGTTTGAATGGAAAATCGCCTTGATTTGACCATGTTATGTTCACTGAAAATAAATTTAAAAAAAAAGTTCTGTGCAGATAAATTTTTGCAGAAGTTTTTATCTCTGAACTTGGGAAGATTCAGGTGCCTAACTCAGGTGAAGGCTGTGCATGCACCCAGCTGCACAAAGGTGGATATTTAGTGAAGGTACTTCGTGAAGCTCCTTATTTGTTGCTCCTCTTATGAGTGGAGTAATCAATGAGGCAAAGCAAAAAACGTGTTTGCCGATTTGCTGTGCACCTTCAGCATGTGTGTGATGCAAAGATAATAGAAGTGATGTACATGTTTATACCTTGACATTTTTATAAATTTGAAGTGCATAAGGTGGTGTTTGACAAAAGTGTGGCACTTCATACCTCTGGGAGGTGGTGAAGGGCTAGCCAGTGGAGTGGGGAGAGGGTGCAGAATAGTGGCAGTGAAAGTTTCCCCCATGGTACCTTTCTAACATGGCTGTGTGGTTCGTATCATTTTCTTGAAACTTTCCAAAGTTTATAAGTGAGGTAAGGTGCAACAGCAGCATTTCTAAAAATGGCAAGATGCTAAAAAATGTGTATTTGAATTATGGTAGGTGTGGGGGAGAGGAAGGAATGATGATACATAGTGGTGTTTGAGAATTGTTATGTAATTAATTTTTTTTAATGATTCTTCAACTTATACTGGTGAAAATGCAATGGTTCAGAGGTGTTACTCCTGATTTACACCTGTATATATGAAAGTAGAATTAGGCTTTGTATCATAATGCATATATACGAAGAAGTGGATTTTAGCATGAGTATGCAACTTATGCATTTGTTGTTCCTTGATTTTTATTTTTTGGGAGGTTAAGAATGCAAAGTTAATATTCTCTTAGTTCTTTTCATGGAAAACGGTAAGTCTTTTTTTTTTTTTTTTTTGCTGGACCTCTATATGCAGCATTTTATGCCTACAGCAATGGCTCAATTACTTTCACCATTTATTGAGAATAAAAAGCATATATTACGGGTAAGCATGAGTACTGTGAGGCATATGCACAGTGGATACCTGCAGTATTAAACATTGTTGAAAAAATACCCCGATGCTCTGACGCATCATGGTAATGTTCTTTGTCTGCTGTAAATTAGTATGTACATTTGCTTCTTATTAGCTTACTAGCTGACTTACTTCATGTTGCCCGGGTGCTTTAGGGCAGGGGGCTAGTGATATGAGAGGTGTAGGACTCAGGGCAGGGCCTTGGGGATGTGGGAGAGGTGCAGGAGGTAGAAGCAGGGTAGTGCAAGAGTCAGGGTTGGATGCTGAGGAGGGGCTCCGGATGAGGTAGGAGTTCCCATCCAGCATGGGTATTTTCTCTTCTCTAGCTTTTGCTTATTACGCAAAGTCCTTTCTCTGGGGCTTCAGCTCTGGATGAGGTAGGAGTTTCCATCCAGCATGGGTATTTTCCCTTCTCTAGTTTTTGCTTGTTACGCAAAGTCCTTTCTCTGGGGCTTCCAGTTGTCCGGGCACAACAAAACCCTGACCTTGCTTTAAGTTAGGAGAAGAGGAAGCTACGTACCAAATTTGGTGTCCCTAGCTCTTACCATTTAGGATGAGATCTTGAACAAACGGACTTGCAGACAGCCACACTCTAAAATATACATACACAGATCATCTGAATAATCTTTACAGTTACATGCATAGAGCCATCAAGTACATTCAGCTGCATCATATAGTTTGGTCTTAGAAGGATAGTTGCAGATTCTTATTCTTTCTTTGATTGTTTGTTCTCACAGTAAATAGTTTGTAACTAATGGACTTTATGTATGCACGTTAAATTATTTGGTTTCACGTGGTTGGCTCTGCTTGATAATCCTATTGCCAAACCTTGTGTGTAATCTAGAAAAGGGCTCCAGACAAGATTAGTATGCCCTTTATTTTTATTATAGCAACACAGAATATGAAAACAAGATAGCAGGCAAATAGCCATGTGCCTAATATCTGAGCTCGTACTACAGGAGTGGCAGAGACCCTTAAAATAGGATGCTAACTATGGTGCCATCAATTCCGCTTGTATGCAAAGATGCTTCAACCTGAAAGGCCTTGTTTTGTGTTTTAAACAACAAACATTAATTTCTATTCCATTTAAAAGTGTAGAAGTAGTAGGGGGAAGTACGTTTGCCAAATGGGGGAAAAAATAAGGAAGAAAGTATTTTCCAAGTTCATTAAGTGGGCATTAAGAACAATGAAGAAAAGAAATATCAATTGATATGATGCTAGATACGTTTAAATACTTGTGCTGTTTAGAATAAAACATTTTAGCCTAATTTAGAATGGGCTTTTAAGGAGTTTAAACACAGTTCCTTGTAAAACAATTTCTGATATGGTTTGGGTCGCCAGTGTGGAACCCTGGAAGTATAGCTTTTAAATGTGGGTTTAAAATAGTATGGAATTATCCATAATTGTTTGCCAAAGCATGTTAAAACTTGGAACACTGGGACCTTACTTAAACTAACTGGGAACATGGTTAAAAATCCAGCATGGATGGGGTTAAAGACTTGTTTATAGATATTTGGGTGATCAACAGTGAGCATCACTGAGTAGCAGTAGGGTCTTATCATGTGTCCCCCTAGCGAACAAAGCATGCAAGCACACATTTAACTTTAGGTACATGAATAGTTCTCCATGATTTAATATTAAGCCTGTGCTTGAGTGCTATGCTGGATCAGCTGCCTTCATTTCCCTGTCTCTAAATGGAGCTAATATCTTACATTGGTGAGAGGATAAGTTTGTTGGTATTTTAATGCATTTGGAAATGAAATGATTAACTGAAACTTGCTTTAAACATACCCCATATAATATAGCTAATAGCTTGCTTCCTTAAAACTGTTAAAAGCTTTTTTTAAAGAAATTATGTTTTTATTTGCCAGCTTCATAGTTCTCCCCTTTATGGCCTGAAACATGCAATCTCTTACTGTTAGATAGCAAAGCCAAAAGTACTAACAGCACAATTTAATATTTTCCTACCTGAGTCTTAGTTATGGAGGAGATTACTTGTGTTGCCTAGGCACTGGAATGGCACTTGGGAGATGGGATTCCCACAGACTTTCTGCACAGACCTAATAAATCACATAATTCCTCTGTTCAGCCTTCTGTAAAATGGACATAACACCACTTCCCTTTTTCCAGGGTATTCACTAATGTGTGGGAGATGCATAGCTCCTAAGGAGATTAGGTGGTGGCAAATATAGATTTGATAAAATGTAAGAAGCTTCAGGAAAAAATACCAGCAGTAGCAAAATGCTTCACAGTTCACTGCAATCTATGATTGTCTGACGTTCTTAATATAGTTCTATTTTAGTGTCCTAGGTATTAGCAATTCATATTTTTGGGGCATTGCATCATTACACTAAGATCTTGATTGTTCTGATGAAACAGCATGTGTAATGTCTTAATTATTTTCACTTTTTGAAATTTCTGTTGTAGTAAATTGAAGTACAGAGCACAAA